TACATATATATATATATATATGCACGTACGCACCTTCATATCAATACACAAGAATGCTAGATTGTAATATTACTTGTATAATTCACAGAACTCGTTTTTCACAAGATTATTTACATATTCAAATCTAATATCATTTTACAAAATATTTTCCAACAAATATGAATACTTGATATTTCATATATAACAGATTTGCTGAACACTTTTACATGTGTAACTTATATTACACAATTATATCAAAATTATTTTAGCGAACTGATTAGCAAGCAATTAATTATCAAATTGCTCAAATAATCAATTAATGATCAATTAATGTTCGCTTACCATAATTTAATTTGAGATTAACTTAAAGCTGAAAATTTTAGATAAATAAAATTATACAAGTAACAAACATTAGATATTTAAATGTCTTAAATTTTAGTACTATAATTAATATAGAAAATCGAGTTAAATGATGGTATGCGATAAAAAATTGTATGTAAATTTATAACACGGAACTTATCTTTTTTATATTTTTTAATCATAGCACAAATTAGATATATATATTTGTAAGTATACATATGTTTTAACTCGCGGATTATTTCTTATGAGTACGAACTAAATTGAAAAATTCTGTAAATTGTCATTTTGCAATTTTTGCAATAATAAAAAATTAAATGTCCGCAAATCATCATATATGATTCCGCGACAATAGATAACCCAGCATTTATGATTTCTAGGAACACGAAAAAAATGTTTACTTTGTAAAAAAATGTTCTATAAATAGATCATTTTTTTACAAAGCCCTATTTCGTTGATTTACAGATTTTCAATAAATTTTTTATCTATAGCAAAAATCACAATATTCACAAAATTTTTCGATTCGATTCAGTTCGTCCTACCTGTTTACAAGAGGTGATTCGCGAATTATAAGACACTTTGTATATATATGCATGCGCGCACATATGTAGGCATGTAAAAAAAGAAACACCTTAATCAAATCTAAAAAAAATACCCAGCACATAATATATACAATTTATGATTTCAGTCCCTCACTTCACAATATCGATAACTATATTAAGACTTAATGAAATTTGATGAAGTTATTAACTTTAACAATGCATTCTCATTCTAATAGAATTACATTACTAATTTATAGTTTATTGTGCCTAAAAATTATCTTTCTATACATAAAATTCATTCATATTACAAACAAAAACTCTTATTTATTTCAATACAATAAAATTATTATAAAAATTAAAATACTGCCTAATTAGGTATACATATATATATATGTGTGTATGCGTATACATACGCAAAGTGCTCCAGAACGATAAAAAACACATTTTTTTGCTAATTTAAAAATTAATTTATTTTATTTAACAAAATTGTCAAAATTATTTATTTTCACTTTCTTTAATGTTATATATTTTTGTAATATGTTATATGTTAGAGATCATTAAATATTCAATCGTTTTTCATATTCTGCAATTGATTTCAAATAAACCTTAGATTTTTAATTATTGAAATATAACAAAAAATGTATGCATTTTGTAATAAATTTGTAATATATTGATATCCAATATCATGATAAGAATATTCTTGTTTTCTATTTTTATTTTTAGAAATTCGAATAGAATTTATTTCATTAAAATAAATTGTCTTTGATCATTAATTATTAAAAAATATCTAAATTGGGAAATTTAAAGTAAAAAGTAATCTGGAATACAAATTAGATATATATATATTTGTAAGATATACACATATGTTTTATAACTTGCGGATTATCTCTCATGAGCATGTAGCACGAACTAAATTGAAAAATTCTGTAAATTGTCATTTTGCAATTTTTGCAATAATGAAAAATTAAATATCCGCAAATAATCATATATAATTCTGCGACAATATATAACTCAGCATTTATGATTTCTAGGAATACGAAAAAAATGTTTTTTTTGTAAAAAAATGTTCTATAAATAGATCATTTTTTTTACAAAACTCTCTTTCATTGATTTGCAGATTTTCAATAAATTTTTTATCTATAGCAAAAATCGCAATATTCACAGAACTTTTCGATTCGATTCAGTTCGTTCTACCTGTTTACAAGAGGTGATTCGTGATTTATGAGACACTTTGTACATATATGCATGCGCGCACATATGTAGGCATGTAAAAAAGAAACACCTTAATCAAATCTAAAAAAAAATACCCAGCACATAATATATACAATTTATGATTTCAGTCCCTCACTTCACAATATCGATAACTATATTAAGACTTAATGAAATTTGATGAAGTTATTAACTTTAACAATGCATTCTCATTCTAATAGAATTACATTACTAATTTATAGTTTATTGTGCCTAAAAATTATCTTTCTATACATAAAATTCATTCATATTACAAACAAAAACTCTTATTTATTTCAATACAATAAAATTATTATAAAAATTAAAATACTGCCTAATTATGTATATATGTGTGTGTGTATGCGTATACATATATGCACATATGTATACATACGCAAAGTGCTCCAGAACGATAAAAAACACATTTTTTTGCTAATTTAGAAATTAATTTTTTTTTTTTAAATTGTTGAATATCAAAATTATTTATTTTCCTTTCTTTAATGCTATATATTTTTGTAATATGTTATATGTTAGAGATCATTAAATATTCAATAGTTTTTCATATTCAACAACTAATTTCAAATAAACCTTAAATTTTTAATTGTTGAAATATAACAAAAAATGTATGCATTTTGTAATAAATTTATAATATAATATTGGTATCCAATATTATGATAAGAATATTCTTTTCTATTTTTATTTTTAGAAATTCGAATTTCATTAAAATAAATAGTTTTTGATCATTAATTATTAAAAAGTATCTAAATTCGTTGGAAAATTTAAAGTAAAAAGTAATCTGGAATACTTTATGTACAGTTTCATATCGAAAAATTGCATTCTTTATATGAATTACACTTATATTATACATCGCACCAAGAATATTTACACATACAAAAAATGTAGATGTTCAATATAATCACTGACACATGATTCTTGTTCCTTTTTTTAACCCAATTATTATCCAAAATTATCTACATCAAGCGACTGTTTGTGGTAACAATGTCGTCATCAGAGATCATATCTTGCAGAGGAATATTTGGCTTCTGCAACAAACAATTAGAAACGGCAAATGTAATTCGCATTCTGCGAAATCACAAGCGACTCTGAGAGAATAGAAACTATTATCTTACTTCAAGTACAATCGTGGATACCATATTGTCTGTGTCGTGATATTGTACACCTACATTTGCAGCTGCTATTGCTACAGTATGAACGTTATCGGTGCTGGTTGAGGTTGTGATGTGCTGGGTAATCGTGGAGCGATTTGCATTTTGTCTACTGGAACCATTATACTCTTATATGCGTAAAATTACCAAGATGAGACACTGTTTCTTATTCTTTTACGAGAAAAACGTGTATTAAAAAATATATATGTATGTACAAAGTAATCACTTACTTTCGTTTTTTCACTTGACCTGAATGGAAACGGCCACCTTCACCACGAATTCTATTCATCGCATGTCGATGACGAGATTCGTGGAGATATTTCTGAAATTAAATTTTTCGTTATTTTATCTCTTTCAAATATATATATTGCGAATAAATATGATGGCATGTAATATAAAAAATAAATGCATTTATATTAATTTGCAACATGTATATACTTTTATATTCCATACAAATTAGTATTCAAAACAAACTAAAAAGTATTCAAATAAATATGAAAATCTCTGTTTTAAAATATATATTTTAAAAAGCTCATTTTTGAAGAAAAGCTTATTTTCCAAAAAAAAATTGAAGAATACTTACTGGCCTTTCCTTGGGTATCTTCCCTTCAGCTTCCAATTTAGCACGAGCTTGACGACGCTTCAATATCCGCCTGTACTGTTTTGCATTGACATATAGTGGTTCTTCTTCGAGAAGTTCTGCATTAGGCAATGCCACTCTTTGGAATTGTGTTTGTCCGCTATTACCTGGTACCATCTAATTACAAAATATAACATGGTGAATTAATGATTATAGCAATGACATTAATTGTTCCTAATTCTCCGAAAGTTCATATGTCAATAGAAATCTAATACAAGGTTGTCACAAATTCTTCATCTTAAAATTCTATTCCTGATTTTCAGATAAATTTTCATGATTTTTCCTGACTTTCAATATTTTGAAATGTTTTGTATTTTCGTCCTAATTTGGAAACCATTAAATATTTTGTTGAGAAATTAATTTAACATAACAAATTATAAATTATTATTGATATTGTTGATATTGCTTGCAATTTTAATTGTTGAGTTGGTAGTATTCCAAAACTGCGTAAGTATAACATACTTTATATTAGGCCAATATTACATGCGTCCATTTTTTGTCAGACAAATTTTTCAAGCCTGTTGATTAGCTATGGGATAGAGAAATCCGACCTTTCTGTTCTATACACATTTAACAAAAATACACAAATGAAACCTTAAAGGTAAATTAAACCTTAAAATAGCACCTTAAAGGGAGCGAGTCCATCGTAACTGATTGAAATAGAACCGTATATTATATTGAAATAGAGTGAGCAACCGTTAATCATAATCGTCAATATATGGTCTGATATGGGTATTAGGCTAATATTATATTTGTCATACGACAAAGCCTATTGATTGGCTGTAGGAAAGAGAAGTTGTCGGATCTCTCTATCCTATAATCAATCAATCAACTTAAAATCTATTGCTACGGTTCATGTGATGCTACAAATGCTTCGAGCATTTTTTGATTGGTCAGTTAGTAAAATTCTTTCTTCCGAGTGGTCAATCAAAAATTTCGAAACATTTGTAGTGTCAAATAGACCACATCCTTTGTCGTACGATAAATGTAATATTACCCTTAAACTTCTTTAAAGTCAAGAATTTTAATTTCTCAAAAAATTTTGTAAAATTCCCTAACTTTTTCCTGATTTCTTTGACTGTAACTCTAATTTCTCACAATTTTCTGATCTCCAGTTTTGTGGCAACCTTGTAATGGTGATAAAGGAACTTCTGAAATGAAAAAAATACAATAACAAAAACAAAATAGATGATAGGTTGAGGAGGAAAAAACAATAACATATGTTTCGACTTTGATTTATGCCTTCAGTAAAGACTTGGAGTCGAAACGTACATTAGTGTCCTTTATCTTTTCGACTTTATGTACAGTTGCCGTTAATATTAAATTGATTTATTAAGGTAAATACGCATCCTCTTCTGTGTAGATTCCTATCACCTATTTTGTTTTTGTTATCATATAATGATACCTATAATATTATTCAATGATTATTATAGAAATCAATCTAAGACATCTATAAACATTATAATGTAAACTACATAAATAAAAATTTTCTATAAATTATTACCATGACAACGTTTCCTCCTTGTGACACTGTTGATGTAGGACTACCTAACGGTTGGACTGGGGTTGTACTAGCAGCAGTAGTTGCAGTCTGTGATGTTGTACCAGCAATTTGCATGAGATTACCATTAAGATTTATAACTGTAAACAAAAGATGTTGAGAATTATTTATACAAAGATGTTAAGATGCATAAAAATAGATGTTTTCAACTTACCTGTTGGTTGGGCTTGTTGCACTTGACCTTCTAATTGCACAGGTTGATAGATATAGGTTTGTCCATCGGGAGTTTGAATAATTTGTGGCGTTTGTGGTTGCTGAATAACTATCTGTTGACCAGTACTGGTCAGGCTAGAAACTGGAACAACTTGGATCTGTCCATTAGGCGCTACTTGTGTCGCTGCTACTTGTATCGCTTGTGGAAGCATCATGGTTTGTCCACCTTGGCCCATTTGAACAACTTGTACAGCCCCACCGGTACTACCGACTACAACCGCTTGTCCTTCGCTGAGTTGCTCCATAATAAATCTTTGCTACAATAATAAAGTAAAAAAAAACTAATAAAAAACTTTAAAAATATATATATATATCGTAAAAAAAGGGCTAAAATAGATACCAGGAGATATCATTGATACAATCGTGTATTCATCAGTGTATCATCATTCAATTTGCATCATCGCTATTAGGTTAACGGTGCGTAGAGTTTACGAGGCAATTATAGAAATGCAACGCAGCCCGCCGACGTGGCGAGTCTAGAGTATTTAGAGTGTTTAGAGCGGGTCATTTCGCTTGTTGTGTGAACCACGTGTGATTTCGCGCGCGCGGGACGTGCGATCTCCAAGCCATGTTTCGCAAATCGCGAGCGGATGAGACGAATAGTGAGAATGCCTAGAAGAGAGCGTTGCTCGACGAGTGAATGCATCAGAATGCACACGTACGTACATGAAAGAAGGGATGCGCGTAATCTCATGGGATTCGCGCTGTTTCGCGGTAACGTTCCGAGACGTCTCAGGGGAGGTTTGCGTAAGCGACGCCGATGCCGCGGTCCGCGAACATATCGTTCGCGAGGATACTCGACGTTCAACCGCGACGAGGAAACTTGGGTCGATCGCCATCGGACGTTCGTGGAAAGAGAGCACGATATCGCCTCGGCAAACATGGCCGTGTGGCGATGACTTTTTTGGCGTCGCGAAGGCGCTGGCTCGCGCGGAGAAACACGCGACGCGGTCGCGAAATCAACGTTAAATCGCGAATGTGGGCGCACGACGGTACCGCGTATCGGGCTGATGTTTGATAATTTGTGAACTTACATTGGATATTTTCGTGGGCACTTTCCCAATTGGTCGACGAATTGAGGACCAATGGTCGGCGAAGGACCGTCCTCAGCTCTTGTGTATTGGTGGCACTGAAAGATGTGAACTGCCAGTCCGATGGCAGTCCGATCCGAGATCGGTCGATGCCCCTCCGCGCCTCTATGCGGACCGCCAATCGAGTTACGCGTCTCATCCCTCTCCCTTCAAGCGCGCGGTTTAAACTGTACATTGTATCACTTTCCGAAAATTCTTTTTATTAATTTGTCTTAGGCCTGGTTGCACCAACGTTACTGTAATTTTTTAAGTGACTTAAAACTCTCTTTGTCCCTGTCTCTTTTCGGTTTTAAAACGAGATAGAGTTTTAAATTTCGTTTTATAAAATCAAAGTAACGTTGATGCAATCGAGCCTTAAAGGATAAATTCTCTGCTGTTTTTTTCTGATAACTCATTGTTTATAAATTCGTTTATACCATATTATTGTAGAACTAATATTGTAATTTTTTTATAGTTTGTTAATATTATTTAGAATATTTAAAACAATTTCATGTTTAAATCTTACATTCGGATTTAGAAATATAGTAAGATACTTTGATTTAAATTTAGGAAAAAATAATTAAATGTAAAATTAAGTGAAAGAAAACAAAGATAAATTGTTTACAGTAAATACAATACGGTGTTTTTATTCGACTTCCTTTTCTTCCTATTTTAATTATTATAACAACTGAATATTTCTCAACAAGATAATTAAATCGAGACCGATGTAAAATTGAACAATTTCAGAGTTTTTATTGCTCAAATTTTCAATCAAATTTTAACAATTTTAAATTCAAATTTAAAAAAAATTCGGATCTGATGAGAAAGATGTATAACAAAATATTTTAATCCTGAATTTAAAGGAATAGTAAAGAAAAATTAAACTACATACGTTTAATGAAAGAAATTAAAAAATTTTCAGTTTATAATTAATTACAGTACAGTTCTCTTACAGTATGAAGTTGCACAAAAGTTGTAGCAATATTACAAAGATTTTGCATCGATATTACTGTAATTTCTGTGCTATGGATTTTTGTTTGATTTTCTTTTCTATTTAAAAAATAAATCGAACAAAATATATTATCTATAAATAAAAATAAATATCGGGCAAAGTAAGAGTCAACACATTTCTTTAAAATTCATAAAAATGTATATTACAAATAACGGAGGTAAAAATTACATAACGCAAAAATTAGAATGTAAATTAACAAATGATTAAAAGTTACAAGTTTCGGCTACCGGTTTGAGCCCTCTTCAGACATTAACGAAAAAAATCGCAGAACAAAAAAAAAAAAAAAAACAATTGTCGCAAAAGATCGCATATCGGATTTTAAAGAAATGTGTTGACTCTTACTTTGCCCGATATTTGTTTTTATTTATTTTGTTTAGAAAGAGTCCTTTGTTTTGTTATTTAATTTTTATTATCTACATTTGAATTTTCTTTAATAAAAACAATAAAATTTGATCTCTTTAAAAATACACACTCACACAAACACCTGCGTGCGTGCATGTACAAAGTAAAAATGTCTAGCTGTAACTTATCGTCTTGGACTACAATTAGAGTTAAAAGTTCTAAAAAAGCTTGAAAGAATACAAAAGAATTTCAGAGACTTGAAAAAGTACAAAAGAATAATATATCAAATGAAATGTTTCTCATTCTTCTTAATTTTGCATTAATTATACATCTATTACTATATAAATATTAATACTAATTACAAGTTAGTTAACATTTATATTTATCACTGCAAAATAGAAAAATTTTTATTATTTATAAATAATTATAAGTTACATTATGAAATATCTTACATAATTTAATATTGTCATTTAAAATCCTTTATAAATTCCTGCAATTTTTGAAGGCAATAAATTTGCGTTAAATCTTTCTTCACAATAGTAAAAAAGAATTATAATAATAATTACAAAATCATAAGTTATATAAGATTCGATTGAATTTATTAAACAATGATAAAATAGTATTATTTTTCTTACTTTTATCTGAAGATATGTATGTACGAAGTGTCCTGCTATTATTGCATAAATTAGCACATTCTTTGGTCACTTTGGAATCGATTTTTCTTTTGAAAAATATTCAGGCAGTGATAGTTGAAAAATTATAATTATCAGCTTATTAACAATTAAAAGCAAAAATCTCGTTTTATAAATTAAATTTCAAGGGTCCAAATAAATAGCAAAATTGTATTTATCAATTCATTTTGAATAAACTTTATTTTTATAGAATTTGTATTTAATATCATATTTTATTAAAGATATAATGTGGAAGAAGGGCAAGTTGAAAAATCTCACTCGATATTTTTCCTAGAAAAACAACAGATTCGCAATTGGCCAAAAAATATGCTATTAAATATTTGCATGGGATAGTGGTAGGGATACTCTCTGTGTGTGTGTGTGTGTGTGTGTGTATGTGTGTGTGTGCGCGCGCGCGCATGCGCGTGGGCATGTACTTATCGATAAATATTACAACAAATTAATTTTTTATATAAAAATTTCACATAGATAAAAGATTATGGCTCACATCTTAATAACACTAAACTTTAAAATAAAAAATAAAAGAGAGAACTGTATATCTATTTAACAATCATGAAACTATTAGTACATAGCAAGCATAAACAGCAGTAATAATTCAACATTCTGTATAATACATTACAATCGATCTTTTGTCTTAACATAAGCTAGAATTGTAACTCGGATTAGGTCGATATATTTCCGACGTATCCTTTTTTATGATGTTAAAATTCCAATCAAATGAGATGAAATTATAAATTAATTTGACGGATATTCAACGATCACGATAGAAACGGAACCACCAAATCCTCCTTGTGTTCGACTTTTACATCGCCTAATGCTGTCACAGCCTTGTTGAGCATTTCTGTAATCTGTATGTTTAATATATGTATTACTTTCATTATCGATAAACTTAATGCTTTCATAACGAAGAAAATATGAGAAAAATGAAGCAAAGTATTTACCAATTCTTGGTCTTCAGCAGCAAGTGGATCGGCAGCTAATGTTCGTTCTGGAGCAGGTATATCCTTAAGTAAGCAAGATGCATCCTCGGGAAATTTAATTCGACCTGATTCTATTCTCTTTGAATACGCACGAGATCTGTCCATATATTCATGCTGTTCTAGATTATGAGTGTCTAACGCGCCCACGTCAATAACATTACTGTAAAAAAATAATCATAACATCAACTTACAATTTTTAGAGTAATTTATTTTATAATATTTTCTACTAATAAAAAACTAATAAAATTGTATTATTCCATAAAGGTTATTTAAAATAGAGTTAAAGCTATTTTTTTCTCACTAACTGCAGCTTAACTTCTTTCCTCCTGAATATTATATATTCACTTTTATGTGATATTTTTTCTAATATTCAGTATAGTAAATTCATGACGAAATGATATAAAACAGCGTTAACTCCAAGATTAAAAACAAAATTCTTATAGAAAAAATTATATCTTCAAAGTAAATTAATATGCAATATAAATTACATATAAAAAAAATTAAAGAATTAAGTATAAGAAAAAATTTACTCACGCTGCAGTTTCATGTAAAATTCTATTCAACGCACTCTGTTCGTCTGTCTTCTTAGGCACAGAACTTGCATATTGGTTAACGTAATCATCACTGGAAAGAAGAAAACCAAATATATAATCTCATCTTACTTAAGAGAGCTCGAAATATTGTCGAACACAAAAATGTCTGTGCTTGATAAACACATAAAATAACTCGCCTATGAACTCTCGGTACGTTTGTATTATTACTGACAGGATCTACCAGCAAATGTGTTCTTTCGTTCGCTTCTCCGCCCTGCAAACATTTTAATAGATATTTAAAATATATATATAATTTAAATTTTTATTACTTTCTATTATTATAACTTCTTTATCATTGCAACACAAATATATGTGATATGTCAATTAGACGTTATCACTATCGTCGAGTAGGCGTATTAACTGCGACAATTGTCACGCATCGGTGATAAGGAAGAAAATGTTGAAAGTACAGTAAAACTGTTTTCGCAGTTATTTTACCTGTGGCCCGCTGTCCTCTTTACAAAAGCTGTAGCAGCATCCCATGTTTGAACGGAATCCCACCAATGTGACTTTTCTCTACGAGCAAAGTATATCCGTTATTGCAAACGGTCGTTCATTTTTCTGTTCTGGTAAACAATCAGGTGAATCAGCTGTGTCGCCGCAAAATTCTACGTATATACATACACAAACATAACTTTATAAATAGACTGTTTCAGCAAGGCGCATGCAATTAACTGACACGAAAACGACGAAAACTTGGGGACATAACGAAACCGGGTACATGCAACGTCTCTAGTGGAACTCGCCTTGTACTACTTGAAAACATAACCTTGTTCCTACTGACATCGTATCAGTGTTGCAACGATATATAAAAATCGATATTAAATTTCGTTCAGCAGAATTAACTGAGGAAGCTGATATTTATGTCGGTACTAATTTTTTTAATTTCGCTACTTTGATATATACACATATTACAATCGCTATCATGTCAGGTACAAAGGTAAGTTCAAGATCGATAATAATATTTACGTATGTTATAATCATATCTACATAATAAAGTTTACCAGTTTACTGTAGATTAGTTTTTTTCTTTTTCTTTTAGGAAGTAACAGAGCTGCAAGCGTTTAAAACAGTCTTTTATCACAGTGTGGTGATACTCGCGCTACCTGTGGTTGCTTTCTTTACAAGCAAAATTTTTCTCTTTGATGGTATGAAACGTATATATATGAGAAAATTGCAATGAACACCATAGCAAGTTTACAGAGAAGAGATAACTATCAAAAAAAATTATTTTTCCATATATTTCTTTTTTGCAGAATCTATGGATTATATTTTAGAATTTTTGCCTTTTTGCTTTCTTCAACTAATGAAGACTTTGCTTTATTTATGTTATAGGTATATTAGGTCTCAACACAGTATCAAGTAATGTGTATTCGGCTGGTATTGCGGTAATAGTATTACATATTGCCTTAGGAATTTTTATATACAGAGCATACTTTGATGACCGATCAAGAACACCAGCGGTTAAGAGAGATTAGTTTTTTTATTATTAAGTACACCTTGGTGATCGTACACTTATGACATAATCACAGTCAACACATTTGTCTCTGATAATATTAAATGGCATTGTAAAGTAAAACTTTTATGTGTTGTCACAACAATCAACGATACTTTTTTCTTTAGTCAGTAATCAGTTGAAATCCATTTGCAATTTGCCAAAATTAACAATTAATGCTATCTGTGCAATGTAATTTATATAAAAATGAATTTTTACAAAGCAACTTACATTCCACAACTTCAAACGTTACATATATGCATTACATATTCCCAGTATACTGTTCGATGTCCATACCAACGTTAAAATATTACGACTTTTCATGTACAAATAAATGTATGGTGAATTAGTATGAATTTATGGTGTTTAAAATTTTTTTCTTGGTAAAACTTTTCTTGATGAAACACAGATACTTTTATTTACAATTTTCTTTTATAAAACGCAAATAACAATGGCAACATAAAGTTTGAGTGATTTTTATTTGTTTATTGAAGATAGACGCCATATTCCCTTCTTTATATGTAAAGATTTTAAAATTTATGATAATTGCATACTATTTATTTTAAATTTTCAAAGGTATTTCAAAACTTGACTATCAACTCCTTTTATCCTTGTTTAACATTCAGTGAATAATAAAAGGATAAAATTATACTCGAGTTAACAGAATTTTGGAACACATCCCATATTTATAAAAAGAAAAATTTTTCGAAACCTTTTAGCTTATCACAAATAGGCTAAACAAACGTAGAGTTATTAATATAGAACGAATAATGATTAATTCATACAATTCAACTTGCAATGTGGTAAAAAAAACGTTACCAAAACAAACATTATTTGATTCTTTTATTTGGAACAATAAAATTTGGAATAGCAAACAAATATTTTTTAAACATGAATTATTTGTCGGATAAAAATGTGACAATTTATATACGTTTCTACAGAAAGTTGGATGAAACTTATTAAATAATGATATCTGATTCATAATATCTCAATAAGACTGAATATTCAACATCAACTAATTGCCAGATATATAGACGGAAAATAAATGTGATAATTCATTTGATATAACATAAAAGTGTATATAAATATATACACTAACGTGACGGTGTGAAATGTATTGTATAAATAAAAGAAAAGAAAACGCATTACATGGTGAAA